TAAGATTTGTGAAGGCTAGCATATCAAGTTACATTTAAAATTGTAGGCAAGTTTAGTTTACTGTCATTGCACCTCGTACAACGAAATTAAATAACTTCAGTTATGACTATGAAAATAAACACAAATGTACATCCTTCACATTCTATACATTGAATTGAAAACCCCTGATATTGCATTAATATTGCACCATACAATAGAATTCATTAGAGTTACTACCCTGGGATAGAAGCTGTTTTTCAGCCTATAGTTCAAAAAAAAGGGTGCCCAGAATGAGATGGATCTTTGAGAATGCTTTGAGATGTCTGATCTGTACCTTCTATAGTCCACTATAAGCTCCTTGGTCTTATTTGTGAGAAGGACCAAGTTATTGCTGTTCCAAAAGAGATAAGTTCCACTGAATTCAGGGAAACATTTCTAGTATGCTAAATTATTGTAGTTCTCTTGTTTTATTTAGAAAATAATTATTTCAGGGATTATCGGATCATTAAAAGCAAAAAAAAAATAGTACCAATAAATATTCTCCAGGTTGCAATCTTATTTTAAAGCAGCAAACAACAGTATACAAAATACCTGCAGGAGCTTCACAATTAGAATAAAACCTCTGATGTGCTTTTAATAAATCTCAAGTTGGTAGGTAATTAAAAATGCAGGACTTCCAAACTAAACTATTTGAAAACATTTTTGATAAAGATAATTTCTGGCAAATGGAATGCAGAATACAGACATACTCAGAGGTAACCTCACATGATAGTTGTCTGTATTATAAATAAACAGTAAAAGCACAGAAAGAAAGAGATTGTTGTGGGAACCATTCCATAGCTTCTGTCACCAGAGAAATCAGGAGATCCAGGCAGTTCAAATGGGTATAAAAATTTATTGCAAGCTTAAGCTGTCTACAAGAATTTGAACTAACAGTTAAAGTAATTTGGTGGTAAATAAGGAAGTCAAGGTGGGCTGGACTTAGATCTCTTATGGGCGCTAAGAGACTGATGATGCGTTTGAACCCTCCCTGGGGCTCAGCCTGGTCATCTACAGCTGCTGAGTGTAAACAACTGCTATCCTCCCTCTGCCCATAACTCTGGTCACCTATTCAGCCAATTTTCTGCCAGAGGTATGATCCAAAAGGCTTTTGTTCTTGACTCTCAGTGAAAGCATGAGAACTCTGTCCTGAAGGCATATGTTCTTTTTTTCCACACTGATATCCATTAAGAAAACAGAACCATAAACCAAAACATTGGTTACGTTTCTAGAGGACAAAGTTTGGAGAATTCATCCTCACTCAAAGTATCTGTCTTTTCCAGGACAGAGACCCAAAATTATAGTAAAGTTGGAAGCCTGGTGAGCTTCAAATCTTGGATAATCTTTTCGGACATTGTGGTTCTAATAAAAGTGTTACCAGCTATACATTTCAATCTTTTTCCCCTTCCCGGACCAATTACTAGGTTATGGTTGTCTTTTATAGTCTTCTATACAATAATTGAGATACTGATATATTTTTATCTTTTAAAAAATGGACAGTAACATTCTTCATCATCACTTTTTCATTAGTGATCCATAGTCCTTCATTGCACAACATTATAAAAGCACATGTCTACTAATTCAGAGATTTAATAAAACAATCATTACTATTCATATTTTTAACATTGTAAGGTTAGTCTATTACAAAGTAACGGATAGAAATGAAATATTAGGCAACAGTTGGGTCTCCTAAGAAAGCCAAACATTCCTTATCATATTCAGCATTCTAAATCAAGAACAACCTTCATGTGTAGAAGAGGCTCCTGTCTCATATGTGTGCTTGTCAAATTGTGAAAGGTTAGATGTGGAGAAGGAAAATACATTGAAATGGGTATAATATGCCGGAAGTCATCTAAATTTGTAATGTAGTTTTTATTTTAACAGATACGATTGCAAAGAAAAGAATGAGAATTCATTTTTGAGGGACCTAGAGGTAATGCTACTCTCATATTCCAGGCTTGTTTCAGGATAGGTCTTGTTTCCTGTCTCAACTTCTAAATTTGCATATGGATTCTTCACTAACCCATAAGTGTTAAGTTGTACATTTATAAGTTTTGGCTTGTATCTCTCAGCCTTTCTTGATATGAAGGAATGGCAAAAAAGCAAGAGCAAGAGTATATCCATGAGAAGGGAATGTATGATGGAAAAGAATGTATAGCCCTGTCCTAGGTATTGGCACTTCCCAAGGAAGATCTAATATGTGCCAAATGATGCCCAAGAGTTTAGAAGAAGCTCAGAATGAAAATAAAAAGAATACTGATTATCAAATACATATTACATCACAACTGCAACAATGTATTATCCATCTTTCAAATAAGAGATTCACAAATTCTTTCCCAAATACCAAAGTCATCTCATTTGAGATATGTCATCTCCTTTCAGGGATCTTGCATTTGTGTTACATGGCCTCCAGTTCTTGTTGTTTTTAGACAACAGTTGCAGTCCTAAATTGCCAAGAAAGTCTTGCTAGTCATTAACTTTTACTTGATGCTGATAAGTAAATGTTGGTCTTCTGTAAGAAACTTATCAGTTCATTCCACTTTACAATTTCCAATCAGAAGGTCTCTTAGTGTAGATGTTCAATCTGTTTCCTTAAGAATGAAAAGTAGGCCTCAGCAGCTGGCCATCTTTTAGTTAGCATCTGGGCAGCAAATCAAATAGACACACAAAGTCTATTATAATCTTTGCTCTCTGTAAGAGACATTGTATTTTCTAATTTGTATACAGCATACATTTGTCCTTTAACACATGCAAATTATAATATAACCAAATGTATGTTCTTTGGCAGGGTTGTGTTTTTTTTGTTGTTACAGAAGTACCTTCCTCCGTGTTGCATTCAAACTAATTTTAAGGTTTGGGGGATGCAGGAAAACAATCATCTAATTGTACCATCCCTTCCGTTCCAGTCTCAGTTGTTTGCCTGGAACACTTTCGACTGTCTTTTATATTTTTCAAATTTTCAGAAAGATGTTTCCTGAATTTTTTTGTGAGAAAACAATAAATGATAGGATCCAAGACACAGTTGGCACCCAGAAGAACCAGGGTAACCTGGTGCATATCATTTAATAGTTTTTGCTTTTGGCAGCTTATGTCCCACATGTTCAGAACCATCAAAGTCCAGGGTAGATCCACCAAGTGGTGAGGCACAAAACAGAGAATGAAGACAATCAAAACTGTAGTCACTAACCAAAGAGCCCGTTGCCTGACATGGGCACTCCTCCGCGTTTGCGCTGGTTTTGAAAGCAACGTACGGATAATGGAAGCATTGCATACCAAGACAAGCAGGAAAGCAATGAAGAAACAAATGCAAATGATCACATGGAAGGCAAAAACAGGAGTTGTATTACTGGTGGTGTCATAGCGCTCAAAACAGCGAGTCAGATCTCCCTCAGCGGTTGTGCCATCATCAACTAAAAAGTAGATGGAAGGAACACCGATTAGGACCCAGATAGCCAATGTAACATAAATTCCTCTTCTTCGTGTGCTGGACTGAACCGTTGAAATGGGGCTCGTGACAGCTTGGTAACGATTGTATGTTATGACTCCCAGGAATGCCACAGAGCAGTATGTATTGACGAAAAATAAGTAGCCAGCTATATTACACAGAAAGCTGGGCATGATCCAGTTCCCTTTGTTGTTGTAATAAACAATCCACATTGGCAATGTAACCAGGAAAAGTAAGTCAGCAGTTGTTAAGTTGACTATGAATATTTTTATTTCATTTAATTTCTTCGTAGCATAAAGCCGACTGAAAAGCCATAGCACGTAGACGTTAGCTACAAAACCCAGAATGAAAATGATGCTGTAGTAGACAGTAAACAGTAGATATCGAAACTCAGAATCCACATGGCATGCCTTAGCTTGCCTGAGAAATGCAGAGAGGGTTCCATTTTCATCAAGTTTGGTTATCATTGTGGTAGTCATAATGTCCTTATACTGGAAATAAAATGACAAAAGGAAATAGTTAATACAAGAGAAGAAAATGACGGGATTTCTTACAGCTAACTTGGAGCTGGCTATCTCATTAACACAATCTCATTTCCCTTACTCATTCCACTTACTCTGGAGCAGTCCCTTGCCTTACCCTCTAGGAATCCACTTTCCATAGATTCTCTAGGAATTGTGAGAGTTTTTAGCTAAACCTGTAACCTGGGAATGTCTTTCCATGTTTGTACTTCGAGATTGTTTCTTTGGCAATTCACATATAGCAACTGAGTTAGACAGTCAACCCTCAACTCCGAATATCTCTATATTGATACCCTGCATTTATTCAATATTTATATTAATCATTCATTTCATTCTCTCAGGTGTGTGATTGCAGTATAAGCATTCAGAATACTCCGCTTTTTAAATTTGAGTAAATAGGTCATAAAGTTTAAGAATCAGACTAACCTTTTGCTTTATTTTTAGCTTATTAAATAAAATAATTACAGTTAAAAGTTTTTAAGTGTCTAAAGTTTTTGGAGATCTTACTAAGACACTTTGCTTGGTTCTTATCATCTGTATACCTTCAGGTTTTTCAGGGTAGGGCTGGATGGAATAAGTATGAACAGAGCTGGTTCATTACCATGAAATTACATGCCTTCCTTCTCCTTGCAATCTTTTCTAAAGCTCATAAAGGGTTATAGTAGAAGCCACCTGTGCTCAACAGTTTTTCACTTTTTTTCCACTCAGTTCTTTATATAAAATTAGGGCTACTTAATCTCTTGTTTGTTTGGTTTTGTTTGGTTTTTGTTTTGGCTGTGGGAACCTGTGACAAATTCAGGTATTCATCCTTCAGCAAATTTATGTATTAGTGTTCTAACTTTTCACTTGATTCTGTGGTTACCTAAGAATAGTGAAAATCTGGGGTTCAAGCTGTATTAGTTACTTGCAAGTTCTGGCAAGGGATAGAAAGGACGGAAGGGGAAGGAAATGGAACTATATAATAAAAAAGGAAGGAATGGTGAGCTTTGACTGAAAAAAAAAAAAACTAACGAGATGAACCAAAGGTTAAAGTTTAGCACAGCTTACTACTTTTCAGTCATGGTGTCTCTGACAAAAGCAGGCTTCAGCCTCTAGTAATAAGAGAAATGCTGTTATAAATGTTTAAGAATAGAGGTGAGCTATGTGCAGGAGATGGTCAAGATAGGGTTTTAGAGTCCCTTTCACTGAGGGCTTGCTAAGACACCTGTGACAACAAGGAGCTTCATCTTGAATGTGTAGCTCTTCATTTTTTTAACCTACACAAACCAATTGTATAACAACTGAGAAAAGCTGTTCTATAATTTTACCCAATTATGTAAGTATTTGTGATAGTTAATTTCTGTTTTGAAACTTTAAACATACTTTCCTAATGGTATTGGTATCATGATTTGTGCCAATTATCTAAGTTTTGCTCAATTCTTATAGCATATAGATAAAACTATGACCTCAGTGGGATGGCTATAATTTTACTCTTGAATGTTATGTTATGCTGTTCAGTGGCTGAAATAAACAAGCCACTGCCAAGAAGATGACTCATATTCATTTTGAAAAGACCCCACAAGTTGCATGGCTTGGGGACCGACTTAGATTGATCTGAAAATCTATGTCCCATTCTATGTTGCTTAAAAATATTTCTGGCATTTTCTCAGTCTAAATGACAAAATCTTTTCAAGAAGAGTTTTAGGCATAAAGTTTGCCAATAGCATTTTCTTAGGTTGAATTCAAGTAGTTACCTCTGATTACCATTAGGCCCAAACCCACCAGATAGAAAGCTATCTTTAACCAAGGATTAAAAAGATGGTATCAAGCCTTAGTGACCATAGACACCAAACCCACCCCTAGCAAATTGTTAATACATTTTGGAACTGCAAGAATATCTCTCATAAATTTAGATTGGACAACTTCAAGGATACCAAGCTTTCTAAATTACACATGTGGACACCTAAAGAGATAGGAAATGGCTTTGGCTACTAAGACCTTGCAAGTTACAGGGATAAAATGATCTCTCTTCAAATAAAAAAACTTCCAGATAGCTGAGTTGTGTTGTGCAACATTTGCCAATGAGGACTAGAACAGCACCCAAAGGTGTTGTAATTAAGTACTCAATAGATAGCATTTCCTTTTGTTTGCCAATTGAATTTTATAACTTGATGAAAATTCAGAGACTTCAGTTTCTCCTAGCTTTTCTTCTAAGTAGAAAAAACCCCAAACTCTGCTATATATTTTCTTCTCTTGAAAATTTAGCAATAGGGTGACTTTTTTACTTCCCTGGGGGCAATATTTCAATTATAATCATGTTCTGCTGCCTTCTTTTTACTCACTTCCTCCTTCTAGGCAAATAAGTACATTAGAAAGAGTAGTTTAACTTAAATCAGTGTCTTTTTAACTTCCTTATAGTACAGCTTCAAGTGGTATTTTCTAAATATCTTTTACTGTATTTTTCTGGGTACATCTGCAACTATTTATATGGAGGGAAGTGAAACTGGTGTGGTCATCCTTCCGAAATTCTACAGAAGCCACAAAAGGAATTGGGCAACATGAACCAAGGTTGAACATAAATACAGATTTGTTTGTGCTCCCTTTCTCAATTTTTGATTGATTCTTGCTTTTAAGAAAATTCTAAGACTATTAGACATCTTGATTAAATCTAAGAACAACTATTCTCCCCTACTTGAAAATAAGCCCTACTTAATAACATACATTCCGAACCACTGTTACAGATTGCATAAAGATTGCATGGATGGGCATTTGCCAAGGTGTGAAACCTAACGAGGGCCCACTTTTGACCTGAACCATTCCAAGCAAAGTGTTTCCAAGTATCACTGACTGATGTGAACATTGCAAGAGGAGAGATGCATTTGTACAGACAAAAAAACGGAGTCTGGCAGCACCTTTTCCAACTAGCAGGCTTTTTTTTTTGTTTTTTGGTGGTGTCCTTGGTGCTCTCTTAGTTTGATTGTTTTCTTGCAGAGATTTCATTACCTTACCTAGTTGGTAAATGAAAGGCCTGCAAGAAAACAGCCAAGCTCAGGGAGCACCAAGGACCCCACAGTCAACCCTGAACTACAAATACTCTCTTCTATTGATACAGATTTGATTAAAAGGTATAAGTTTTTCCGACCTGCGGCGCACTTTATCATATGCAGAGAGTGACTGAGGAAGTATTGGAATTGGGGTGAAGTGGGAGAGGTGGCTGCACTAGTTTACATCAACATATTTTCAGGCATTCTCAGAAGGTCTTAACGAACAGGCACTTGTAATCTGTTTCATATATAACTGCATGTGCATAACAAACTTATGTCTCCCTCCTTTTCCCTCTCAACTACACTCCTGGCTTTCCAGAAGAGTCTTAAAATTTGGTTCTGCTGCTTGGCCTGGGGCCTCAACAGGGGCCTGCTACATTGGGGTGGGGGGCCTGATGGAGTAGAGAAGATCTGTGATGATCATCGCCACCCATCACCTTGGTTTTTAACTTTGAACTTCTCTCATTCAACTTTTCTAATTTTAATGCATTTTTAGCAGTTCTTAACTTTTTATTGTATTGTAAGCCACCAAAATCACAGTACTGTATCAGTGAGATAGGTGACACATAATATTAATAAATAAATAAACCCAATTTAATAAATAAATAAACCTCTTCATCAGTCTAGCCACACCATGTCCCTGATGAAATAAACTGTAGCTCAAGAAAGATTACACCTTTTAATTCTGTTAGACAGAAAAGCCACCACTTGATTCTTGACTTTATAATTGGTGAGGACTAACAAAGAAAGGAGCTGTGTGTCTTGAATGACTTGGTTTGCATCTCCAGAATAATCTTGTTTTCAGTTATAGTAAGTCATTGGCAGTGTTGAAAGGAAACTCAGCTGTTAGTCATATTACAGGTGGAGTGCTGGCTGACTTACTACATGCAGCAAAATGCCCCAGGTATAGTGCTGACCTTTCATTTCCCAATGATAGAAGTTTCTGTTGGCAGCAGAAATTTGGCAATTTCTCCCAAATCATTATGAACAAACGAAAAATAAATCCAGAAAAAAAGAGCCATGGTTAGGAGCATTTAAATAGCTTCTTAAGAGAGGGAGAGAAATCGATCAAAGCATAGAAAGATGCTTTATATCAAGGGAGAAGCGATGTGTTTCGCCCAGTCTGTTATTGAGGCTGACTGATGAAATAAAGCAACAAATTGTGATGGAAGGAAAGCCTGGATTCCTGAGAGGCAGGTGCTGCACTCCAGAAGACCAACAGGCAGTGAAGCCTGGAGAGCTTGCTTAAGAGAATGAGGGTTAAGAAAGCTCCTCCCTAGTGATTCCCAGAGTGTATCTAGTGGTGGGGTCCTTGGTGCTCTCTGTACATGGTGGGAGGTTTTTTTTCCTCATCAAACATCAATGCTTGCTCTCATTTTATATTCTAGCAGCTTGCCCTATCAGTATTGGTGGAGGTGGCCTCGGTGTTCCTTGAAAAGGCGGTGGTTTACTATTAGCTTGTTAGTCTGAGTTGGTGGTTCCTTGATTGGGGCATTGTTTGCTGCTTAATTGTTGATCAAATGTTAATCTTGTTGTTAATCTCTGCTTATCTGGGTATTGATTGCTACGGTAGTGAGGAGGCATTGTGTTTCCTTTTTGGCTTTTTGATTGTGGCCTTGGAATGGCATTTATCTCTATGTGCCTGTTGATGGCTGATTTGTCTGTAAATGCTAGGCTTCCGGGAATTCTCTAGTATTTCTCGACTTGGCTTGGTCATCCTAGCTCACAGTTTCCCAATTGAAGCTATGGTTAAGTCTGTTTGTAGGTTGTGAAATTAAGAATCTGCATCATGTTTTCTGACCATTAATTGGTGTTCCTGGATGCACCTTGCTAATCTTTTGCCCCTTTGTCTGACATAGTTGCTGTTATAGTCTTTATATCTTATCTTGTAAACGACTCCTATTTTTTCTTCTTCTTTTGGTAGAATATCTATATCATTATGCAAATACAGCAGTTGCTTTAGTTTGGCAAGATTCTGTCTATAGGTGAGGAACAATAAAGAAAACTACTCAGATGTAACTCCACATGTCTTATTTGTTCTGGGGGGGGGGGGGGGAGACACATACATTAAGCTAATTTTTGTTTCAGTATATATGACCACACATCTCAGCATGATAATTCCAGATAGTTAAATAACAACTACCATTAATATAAACAATATGAACTATTTGATAATAATGATTTTCATTTGGTAATGGATTTAATTATCAACAAACCACTTAGAAGTTACACCTCTCTGTTGATTTGTGGGAGAAGCAATGCAAAGTGGTGTGCAATAATGTGAACTCAGGATTTTAATGTCTTTTGTCAACACAGCTATGAAGATTTCAGTGGTATATGTGGACTTGTCACTCGAACATATTTCACAGGTTTGGTACTAAAAAAAAATCTTGTAAAGGGATAATTTTTATGTAGTACTTCATCAAAATGTGGTACTTATATTTAAGAAATATATAAGTACATGGAAAATAGAGGTGTTTATGCTGTTGTGTGGCCTTTCCACAGCAGCCTTTTATTTTTAGTTTATTTTCCCCAGTGGCTGCATTTTTTTTGCACCTTCCGGTTGATGACTAGGTGATACAAAAACCACAAGAATGTTTGTTCTGCTATTTTATATTCAAGAACCCTTGGTATCTTTTGCTGTAAACTTTCTATACTAAGTGACTTATTCAGACACTCTTTGTCTTTACCCAAGTGGAAGAGATTCTCTCTTCACCTTTGAGGTCTTTTGACCTTATGGCTTTATTTCCCAATTGGGTTCCAATTCTGAACATCATCAGCTTTGGTTGCAGGGGATGGAAAGATGATGGAGTCCCATAGTCTGCAATAGGGCAGGGCAGGATGGCTGTTCTAGAGCATTGGCCCCCATTTGGTTGGCATCCAAAACTACAATATCAAACTGTCCAGGCAGTGAAATTGCAAGCCCATCCCAGATATTAATTCCCACCCAAGGTGCTGGACTCAAAATCAGATGGCCATGAGTTCTAGTCTTTCTTTAGGCATTGAAGTCAGCTGTGTGACTTTCTGCCAATCAGTCACTCTTTCTCAACCCTTGTAGCTTGTGTTTGTGTGGAAAACAGGAAAAGCAAGAATTATGATGTACACACTGCCTTAAGTTGTAAAACAAATAAAGATGGGGCACAAACCAAATATACTATAAAATTAATAGCGTCAATCAGGGGCAAGGTTTAATAAGGAAGAACTGTCTACTTGTTCAGTTCAAGAATGAAAAACTTTGGACTGTGGAATCTTTTGTTCTGAATGCATATCTCTTAAGCTAGGCTCTGCTTGGTAGACTTCAACATGATAATAACTTAAAAGAAAAAAGGAACACAGAATTTGCAACAACTTAGTGAAAACACTAGTGCCCTTTATTGGGTATGATCCAGCACAATTCTTGTGAATGTGTAATTCTGGATAATTTCATTGGTATTAGATTCTCTATTTTTAGTATAATTTCACTGTCAATTTGACAGTGATGTAAAAAAAAATCAGTTACATCCTTTCCCGATCCTGTTGACTTTTCAACTTCCTGGTACTGGAAACAAGCTATTTTGAATTCCAACAGGATGCAACATAGCAACAACTTTTTGTTTGCCAAATTGAAAGAAAGACAGTGAATGAAGGAATGGCAACAAAAGTTGTGTTAACTTTACAGTAAACAGGATCACTGCACAAATCTATAATACAATATAGGAAGCCTAATCATATAATTGTAACCTATAATTATAACCCATAATTATAACCCGCATTACGTATCTGATATTGATACAGTTGAGAAAGTCCAGAAATATTTCACAAGAAGAGTTCTCCACTCCTCTACTCGGTGCAGAACACTTTATGCCACCAGACTTGAAATTCTAGACCTAGAAAACCTAGAACTACGCCACCTTCGGTCCGATCTAAGTATAGTACATAAAATTATATATTGCAATGTCCTACCTGTCAATGAATACTTCAGCTTCAACCATAACAATACAAGAGCACACAATAGATACAAACTCAAGGTAAACCGCACCAAACTTGATTTCAGGAAATACGACTTCAGCAACAGAGTGGTCAGTGTCTGGAATACTCTCCCTGACTCTGTGGTTTCTTCCCCAAACCCCAAAAACTTTAACCTTAGACTGTCTACTATTGACCTCACCCCTTTTCTAAGCGGTCTGTAGGGGGCTTGCACAAGCGCACCAATGTGCCTACTGTCCCTGTCCTATTGTTTCTTTTTATTTTTCTTATATATATCCATTTCATGTATTCATAACTATGTTTATACTTATACTTGTTATCTTATAATCGCCTGACAAAATAAATAAATAAATAATCCATTGTTGTTTGTTTTTAATGCAAGGTGGACTTAAGGCATGGGAACTCAATGTTTCCATATAGAATCCAGATGGTTTGCCACAAACCATCCACTTCTGCCCTTAGAAGGTATACTGAAACTGAAGTCGTATACTGAAACTGAAAAACCCAAAGTCCAAGCCCATAGTCATAAACTAGTTGACATAATGAATTGACGTCTTTCAATGCCAATCTGCAGAATCACTTGCCATATAAGGTAACAGTGCCGTAGTAGGATCTTATGCGTATTGATTAACCTTTTGTTAAATATATTTCATATTTTTGCCTGCCCAGCTCTTATCTTGCCAAGCAGTTATGGCACATGTCTGAAAAGCCCAATTGAAAATTGTCTACAATATCATGATTATCAAAGACATTGTGGATAGACACAGTGGTGGGCAACTCATAGCTGACCTGACTGTTTATGATTTATTTTTTTTCTGGAGAAAGATAGCACCAATGCCAGAAGAGCCAATGAAAAGGAATCAGAAGGACTACCATAGGTATATATCCTAATAGGAATTGTTGGAGATCTACTGTGGCTCATAGATCCTCATAATCACTGCCATCTCTTGGAGATTTATGGCAATTTGTTTGTGAATTAGAATCATTTGAAGCTAGAAGGAAGAACCACGGCCTTCTCATTCTCTTCTATTGATTATTCTGATTGTGCGGAAAGTGTATACTCCAAACAACGAAGCAGCATACAGGGAAGGATGGATCTCCTAAGTGTAGATTGACCAAGAATCTCTCAAATTTGCAACTGAGCTTATTTCTAGTATCTACTATTTCATAATCAGAATAATTATTTCTATTAAAATATTGAACCCAACTCCATGATGGATATTTTCTTACAAACAATTCATTGGAAATACATATATTTCTATAAAGTTCTTCTGAGTTTTTGGGATTAAAAAAGACTTTATTACAAAAGTTGGATGCTGTCCTAGCATAGTTAAATAATTTCATCTGTAAAAGTACCCATCACTTACCATGGCCAGGATGGATGTTCTCAACTGAGTCCGGAGTTTGGCCACAATGTAATAATGGGCAATGTCTATCAATAGAAGCCAATCTGTGGGAACGATGTCTCTTACATGCTGTGACTTGAAGCGTTTTCACCACAGGCTGAATTCCATAAACTCAACTGAAAATGACACAGGAAACCTACATAGTCGTTGGGAATGAAGAAACCATGTGTGTGTCATCCTCATTGCCAAACATGAAATATTGAGCAAGTTTAAGAGGAAGATAACTTGCCACAAAAAGCTATAAGACAGCACATACTATATAATTTATCCCCATCTGGAATGAGGCGGGCAAAAGTATACATTTAAACATGTGTAAATGTAGAAGTTGATGTTTCCGATCCAAGGAGCTACAGGATCAGCATTGATGAGTATTTAATTTATTTACATACGTGAGGATGTATGGAGTATGTGAAACTGAATTTAAATTCTGAATCATTGAAGGTTTAATTGGATCACAGTAGACTTGTTCACCCTGTACATTTTTGCAATTGTTAATTGCATCATCACAAGAGCAACTTTGGTGTAATGATTAAAATATCAGGCCAGAACCGGGAGACCATGAGTTCTAGTCCTGCCTTAAGCACAAAGGCGGCTATGTGACCTATGGCCAGACTTTCTCTCAGCCCTAGAAAGGAGGCAATGACAAACCACCTTTGAAAAACCTTACCAAGATTTCAGGGACTTACCCAAGCAGTCTCCCAGAATCTTTCACAATTGAACAGAAGAAGAAAAGAATACACCACATGTTTGTTTATCTAAAATTATTTGCACAGAAAGCTATGGTGTCAGCTACATGATTGTAAAAAACAACAACAAATGGATATAATGCAGTTGCCTGGATTCAGTGTGATAGAAAGCTAGGAATGACCCTATAATTAGGCAAAAAGAAGAAAGTCACCTCAGATGACATTTTACTTAGAAGAAAGGACTCTCTAAGCTAGCTTAATGACTTCTGGCATGTTCTATCACTAATGTTACATGCACACACAAATCACATAGTCCTTCCATTGAATGTCTTGCACATATGAATGGGACCATTGATTTGTCATGGCAGGCAACAGAGGTGTTACCCATCCCTGTTTCAAGGGAGTTTTATCAGGTTCTTTCCATTATTGAACAAAAGCTGGGTTAGATTTTTTTTTCCCTTTTGAAAATATTAACAGGTTAGTGTTCCATTTCTCCCCTCGGTTATACATGAACAACCGATCCATCCTTTTAGGGGTGCACAGGTAAAGATCCCAGGACTATAAGCAGCCCTTTTAAAATTTGGCTCCCTCACTTGGAAGAAAGCTAGGTTCTCTGTTTTGTTGGAGAATCCCCCAACTTCCTGACAACCATGAATAAGAACTAAAAGATTCAACTTAAGAGGAACAAGGCAGACATTCTGATCTTGTTTTGTGATAGCGACTACTGATGACTTTGTTACACAGAGTATTTTTCATGCTTGTGCTGTCACAAAGCATCAAACCTAAGCATACAAAGATTGATAGTAGATTATGAAAACCTAGGTTATGATTCCATAAGGCACATCAAAAAAGTGTACAATCTATGCAAGAAGACAGCGAGCCAAAGCAGCCTTGAAAGGACAAGATTTCAAGGTTTACTTAACACAGTCTAGATCCAAGCCATTTATCACCTGCTCCCATGCAATTTATCCTAAAGTCTCAGCTCATTAGGATGGCATGTTTCCCAGATCCCACTTAGGAAAGACTTGGAATCCATAGCCAATTTGGTCTTGTGCATGGCAGGGCCCATATTATGAGATCAATTGCTACTGAAATTAGCTGCTTCGTTACTATAATTTATTTCCCCAAGCCCTTTAATTATATTTCATTAGATTTTCCCCCCTGAAAGTTTATATCTGTAATACTTTAAATGCATGCATTGTAATTTAATTTATTATGTTAGCAGTAGGAATGCTTGTTATCAATGAATTAATGCATGAATTAATTCATGAATTAATGCATGAATGCCAGCTCCAGTTATGCAGGAGGTGGGCGGCCTGTAATATTTCCAATCAAACGAAAGCTTGTTGTCCAGGGGTTTACGCTAGAGAGGTCTATAGGATGGGGTTGAATGTTGTCCCTCTTAGGAGATGGGTAAATGGCCAGCTACCTCCCTTATCGGAGGTTGGCTGGGGAATACTCAAGTAAGGCTTCCCTGAGCTGTTTGTCTCAAATGTCTTGGCTCTGCCTTCCAAATGCACCCCAATGAGATTCAGGAGCCATTGCTCTGCCAAAATGTGTGATTCTGAATCTGGAATATGCAGAGAGCTACCATCTCCTATAACTTTCAGATAACAAAATAAATTGGGCTGGCCTTGATGACTTGCCAGAGGTGGGAAATCCAAGAGTAAAGCTTATCATTTCATTACACCCCCTCCCTTCTTCTTCCACTCAACATTATTTGAAACATGTCAATGTAAACAAACAGTGAACAAGTACAAAGAAACCCATACAGAGATCCGGATCTGTCCCGAAATAAAATTAAAAGGGACTTACCTCCATTTGTGGTGTATAAATTAACCCCACTAACAGATTATGGGGAATGTGGATCTTTTCTCCTCATGTTTTTATCCTGGAAGTCCAGATTATCTCAGTGTGGCTTCTTCAGAAGTGTCCACTGTGATTATTTTTACTCTTCTGGAGAAAAAAGTTTCGGGAGAACACTTGAGATCCTCAGACTGTATTACGTTTGTGGAAGGAGGAGTCCATTATAATACCACATGCAACAGAAGTGCTGGGAAATCCCAAAGGTCCTATTTGAGTGCGCGTGTGCATGTGCATGTGATATAATACATCCTGCAACAGTTTGAACTTATTTCTCAACAGCAACAGCAGGAAACAGACGCTGTGAGTGAGCAAGGTGTGGTCCGTCTCTCAGGTGAATGAGTCAAACCCTTAAAACAGTTTAACCTAATGTCTTCTTCGTGGCTTCTCCAGGCAACAGCCTGATCTCCCAACTAAGTGCATGTAATAGAAATACGGAGGAGAATACCCACTTGCGGAAAATGATTCTGTGAAATTTGCACTGTATTCTCTCAACTTTTATTTATTTGTATGAGTATGGATATGTTTGCACAGCCTTTAAAAACCTTACCTGTCATTCTGAATGTAGCAATGTTTGTCAAATGTTAAAGAACTAGTAACCAACATGTGAAACTCCAACTTATGTATTCTCAAGAGGAGTGGCAGTGGCAGCCTGAGTATTTACTGTCTGAGATAAAGTGAGTGCTAGTGTAATGGGGGGACGGGCAGGTACAGCAAAGTTTGGGAAATAAGAAGCAACTGGTAGGAAAGGAGAAGCAAGGAAATAAATTTAATGCTAGGGACCTGGTTTTTTAATTACTGAAAGGCAGAATGGAGGGAAGAGGTAAAGGTAAGCGAGCAGGAAATAACATAATTGGTTCATGGGGTTAGCTAAAAGAGCTTATTAGTAGAAAAAATGATCTTTCAAAGAAATGAGGTGCTTGTAATTTCGCACTGCTGGAGAAAATTGTTAGGAACTTTGGACCTGAAGGAGAGCTGGATCAGTACTAGATGAAGTAAAACCAGACTAGAAGGCCTAATGATGAAGCTGTAGCTTAAATATTTTGGATATATAATTCCAGGGCAAAGATCATTTGGAGAAGACTCAGATTGTTCTGACCAAGGCTTCCTGAGACCGTAATTAAGCACATGCTTAGTTAAAACAACTCTTGTTTTTATTTCAACACTGGGAATTATGTTCATTCCCAGCCTGTAATGAGTCCCAAACAGTCCCTTGAGATAAGCACCCACTTTTCTCTCCTTTGAATTGCTGCCAACAACTAGAGTGCCAAATGAACTACAAAAAAACAACTGAAGTACAAAGTCCACACAGAGCTTCAAGGATTAATCCGAACAAATGACTACCTCCAGAAAAGATTTTTCTACCTTTGCATGTCCTTTATACCTCAGGGGAGGGTCAATCACCTCCAAGCCTTACTCCCGAATCACCCCTTTTGTCTCAGCTGCTCTTGCCTTCTAGCAGCTCTGTGCACACATGCACTGGGAACAGGCTCCCCTTGTTCCTCTGCCTTGCTGCTGCCAGACTCCAGAGGCTCCGGAGTCAGCACCCCACTCCCAGATGGTCCTGGCCCCATCTTTGTATCAGATGCAGAACCCTCGTCCGAGTCCTCTCCACACTCCCAGACTGGTCCCCATTCTTCCCCACTGTCTGATTCCACTGCCGTCTGCACAGGCTGCCGGCGAACCACATCACAGATTCTCTGGAAAACCCAAGGGGATAAAAGAAAAAAAAAGGGTTACAAAGATTCAAAGGAACAATTGCTGACCTCCAGTAGTGTCCTGCCAAAGGTTTGTCAGCTGGGCCACCAAGAATCAGAAGTGTCTGATTCAAAAAGCCACCTCAATTTTTGCAGTCCAATATGAAAATCAGTTCTCACATTGTCATAAGTAAACAACTCCTATTAGGTCGGGCTCTTGCCACAAGAGACAGATGGAAATTGTATCTTCTGCCCCCAAAAGAAATTTACTTCTAGCTCTTTTCATAGAAGTGAGCATGTTATAAGCAGAGAAGACTTGTTATCAACTTCTCAACAGAGAAGGTTTTGCATTCCAAGCGTTTTAGTTAAAGCAGTTCAGTTTCACTATTCAGAGGCTGGAAGGCATGACTGGAGGCAGAAATCATGTTTGGGACATGTTTATAGTGGTTTTGAAGCCGGTCTGGATTTCATTCTTTGTCCTAACACATATCAATGAGTTGTGTTTTACAACTTAGCCTGACTGATACCATAGGTAACGAGGAAGTTTTATCCAAAGAAAAAAGGCAAAAGATACACTAACAGATATATTCAGTAGATTTGGGCTACAGATATCTAGATGACCACGTTATAGCAGCTATATTTGTAGCTATTCAATAGGCTTTTAGCTTTTCGTTGCCCAGATCTGTTAGTCTAATAATACATATTCTTAAGTAGCTTTAGATATTTTTCAGTGAATCACAGTACAAGGCTAGAAATTCCTAACATAAACATTACTCTTCCTAGGAATGCTTTTCAGGGGAAATAATATATTTTTAGCATTTGTTGTTCTGCACGGGCTGCTTTACAGAAATATGATTGGTTTCCTTTCTTGGCAATGACCATAAAGTCTGACTTCAACCCATTCCTTACTTATTTATTCATTATCTGTTTTTGTGAGTAGCTGCCTGTATTTCTATACTTATTGGTCAATTTAGCAGAAGTCTTTAACAGAATCCATGCAATAAAACAATGTGATCATCAGAGTATTAGGATTTACAGTTCTGTGAAAGGGGCTTTTTTATAGCATGGGTGGAGAAGCTGTGACCTTCCAGATAGGTCCAAAGATCTCTCTATCTTTGGGTTTCGGGGAGAGAAACAGAATTATCTGCACCATTAACACCGCGGAAAAGCAGCCTGGCTTATTCTGACCAGGAGCACCCCCAAATCTACAACTAATTTTGTTCTGCTGCTTCAGCAAAGCAAGCACCTAGAGTACTGCATCCAGTTTTGGTCACCACACTATAAAAAAGATGTTGAGACTCTAGAAAAAGTGCAGAGAACAGCAGCCAGGATGATTAGGGGACTGGAGACTAAAACAACGGTTACAGGAACTGGGTGTCAGGCTCCATTAGGGATGATAGATGATCTGAGCCTGTCGCACCTTGCCAGTGATAGATGCTTCTGGGTAAATGTGACAGCTGCAGCACGTCAGAGAATTTTGACTTGAGAGGGGATCCTCCGTCATCCATAGCTTGAAGGAAAACTCCCATCTGTGTTTGATGGATTGTTGGATGTTAATTAGATGATTCTGCCAAAGCCAAAGAGAGAAAACAACAGCTGGTGCAGCTGTTGAATCAACTGGGCTGAAGAAACGGGTGATGTGGGGGGAGTTTGACTATTTAGTTTACTCAGATAAGATAGGAAGCATGAGGGATGGATAGGTGATAGGGGAGGAAATAGTGGATTTATTAGGTAAACCGGATAATGGGAATACGTGGTGATTAAAAGAATAATTAGGGGCATGGATAGGAGATAGAAGTGTTTAGGTGGGTGTGTTTATACCTTTAAATAACACTGCAAGGCAGAAGCTTCCAGTGCTAACTTAGACCGGTTGGGATACCATTCTTGTCAGATGGAAAATGTGTTGTTTGACATTAAAAACCCTTGAAACCTGCTTAGTCTAGTGAAGAGAAGGACCAGGGGAGACATGATAGCAGATAGTTCCAATATTTGAGGGGCTGCCACAGAGAGGAGGAGGTCAAGCTATTTTCTAATCTAAAGCACCTGAAGGCCAGACAAGGAATAATGGGTGGAAACTGAACAAGTAGAGATTTAACCTGGAAATAAGGAGAAGCTTTCTGACAGTGAGAACAATCAAGCAATGGAACTGCTTTCCCTCGGAAGTTGTGGGAGCTTCATCACTTGAGACTTTCAAGAAGAGATTAGCCTGAAATTTGTCAGACATGGTGTAGGGTCTCCTGCTTGGGTGAGGGGGTTGGATTAGATGACCTACAAGGTCTCTTCCAACTCTGATCTGTTATATCTGTTAAGCCATGGAAATCAACAATATCCATTTCAAATCATTATGTGCTGATGCACATGACTTTTAGCACTCCTTTTTCTTGTTGAAATTCTTATTCTATAACCAAGTACGCCATATCTAGATTGCAGAAGTTGTCAGAAGACGGGGAATGGGGAGTGGAAAGCTTCAACTTCATTATGTTGCTGGTATTATTCACATGTGATCTGGGTCACACAGGGAATTGCACAATGTCTTTCGACAGAGCAATTGGTGCTTTAAAAAACGAGAAGCTGTTTCTCAAAATGTTCAAAACTTCCACTTGCAATTCCATCAGAATATCTTCAAGTGGAGGTTGAAGAGCTATTGATAAATACTAAGTCCATTTGTAATATGACCGACTTCATCTACAATTAAGTGATGGACAAGAAAAGAGACCTGACATACTAAGACAAGTTGGGCAAAGGCACATATTCTGCTCTGTTAAAAATACACCCTCCTAGGTCCTTTCTCAGCCATGATCCTTGGGAAACCTTTTTAAAAGAGTTTTATTAAGGACCTTTATTAAGGATTTTAACAACAATAAAATATAATACAAACTCAGAGGTGGGTATTCAGCAGATTCTGACCAGTTCTGGAGAACAGGTAGCAGAAATTTTGGGTAGTTTGGAGAACCGGCAAATCCCACCTCTGACTGGCCCTGCCCCCATCTATTCTCTGCTTCCCAAGTCCCAGCTGATCAGCTGGGTCTCCTTTTGTTGCCTTGCACAGGAGAATGGAGCTGGAAAGCAGGCTAGTGGGGTGGGGAGGGAATGGAGATTTTGCAGTATCCTTCCCCTGCCACGGCCTCCAAGCCACGCCCACAGAACCAGTAGTAAAAAAAATTGAATCCCATCACTGTACAAACTGAAATCAGAAAGAGGGAAAAGAACTGAAAAAAGGAAGTATACAGTGCAAAGAAAAAAGGAAAAGAAAGAAGGAAATTGGAGAAAATATTTAAAGAATGACTTCTGATCTTCATCATAAGTACAAATAAGCTTAATATTTATCAACCTCCTAAAAGGTTATATACACGTATTATTTCTATTCTTTAGCCTACTCTTTATATACTTATACCTATTATCTTGTAAGCGATTGACAAATCAAATAAA